TATCTAGACATTATTCGAGAAATACTCTGTATATTGAACAAACTGCAGATTCATGAATGTTAATTTGCATTTGACTCTCGCTTCTGTGAATGGGACAGACAAATTGTGAAACAGATGTTAGACGAAGACTTGGACCATTACATTTCACAATTACTTAATAAATTGTCGTGATGTAAGCTGTACGTTTAATAAATTCGAAAGAGAAGAAAAAAAACGTCAAGAGCCCAACTGGCATATTTTTATTACAGGTGAATGGCTCGTGTAGAAATATGTCCAATTTACTTGTACGTATACTTGCAATTAGTGTAGAAACTTAAGCTAAAGTAACATCAAAGTCAATTAATTTTTATATATTGTAAAAGGTGGAGTTTACCTATCACGTCATCATATTTTGGTAGGTATTGCTAATCCGTTTTTGTGTTATACAAATCGAGTCGGCGTTCATATTTCTCATTACGTTTTTTTTCTTCTTACCAACGCATTGCTAAGAAACCACAACTATTCTCGTCTTATTGTTGCTACAAACCGCAAACAAGGAGTTTCAAAACATGCACATTAACTCTGTCCCTAGTCCAATAAATCATTACCAAATAATCATAACTGATTTGAGTCCTGCTGTTGTTGTAGGTCGCATCTCTTGTTATTGTCGCTTTTTCAATTCTTCATTGCATTAAAGTCCTAAATAAATTATAGTGTCAACTTTCAGTCGCATAGCAAAAGATTCGATAACGTTTTTAGCAAGTAATAAGAGAAAGACTTTCACTAACAAGGGTGCGTCAAGTCAAGCAAGTAGTACGTGCGTGTCTCCTCGAACATGTCACTGTCTTATCGGATGTCTACAGCGTGTTGCAAATTCTTTGGCTGTTATATATCTAGACGAATTTAGTATTTGACATTTTACTGTATCAATCTCTAAGCTATTCTTCTACTCTACTGCAACGATCCCTTGTTCAGCTTCATCTATCAACCCCTAGATGGTCGTACATTGAATTGAAGAAAACAATTGTGATCGTCCGTAGGCGTCACCAGGATTGTAATAGTGTTAGGAAGTGCACCAAACGCACCAATAATTCCTAAGGAAATTTGTAATAAAGAGAAAAAAATTGAAAGTAAACAATTTCAACATCTAAAAAATCATAAATGGAATATCGTTTTAAGATTTTCTTTCTAGGTTTATTACCGATAATATTTGTGCTTGCGGAAGGCAAATAGACAAATAGACATATAATAAATACACATTTACTCCATCGCCATCAAATTGGCCGTTTCTAGGAAATGGAAAAGATATTTAACAAAATAAAAAGTCGAATATTACACACGCAACAAGTGCACGTTCGTACGTATGTGCATGTAATAGGTGGGTACACATAAATATACAACTTTTGCTTAAGTTAATAATGCCCGTGGGACAATCGCTTTCACCTGATGGCTACGTCGTCGCTTTTATATGCTTGAAACGTTCCTGAGCCCCCCCGGGGGCTACTGCCGCGCCAGTTCAAAGAACGCAATCATTTTGTAAAAGTTACGAGTTTCGATTTTCGCGTAAATGATTGAGAAAGTCGATAAGATTGACGTACAACTGACATTAATGGGCACTTGTTATAATAATTACACAGAGGATGTAAGAGGAATCTTTTTCGGAGGGGGCGGTAGTTCTCGGGCGCACACCAGCTCTTCGCAATCAGCATAGAGAGGTACCAACTTTATCTAGGAGGTGAACCGAAGACCTCCTGGAATCCTCTGTTAACAGACAGGACTTACGCAATTCCTACCAGGCTTAGCAAGTTTCGTGTCTCATTGAGATGCACTCTGGTACCAATGATACATCTCGGATTCATAGGATTGCCACCTTCTCCTCACCCTTGGAACTCATGATGACTGAGTGTATAGGAAGATGTCCCGCCTGTGTCCTCCGGGGCCCCTGTAGTGTCAATCACCCCCCTCAGTCGCATTATTTGCACTCCTTCAGTGGGACACTATCTCGGATTCATGGAATCGTCACCCTTCTCCTGACCCCTGATACTCATTACGACCTGGTGCATCTTCTTTTTTCCACCACTACCACTACGAATTCAATCGCAGACGATCGGGCTAATAGAAAGGTCTTTCGCATGTAACACCCGGACCTCCTGTGGTACCAGCCATCTCCCCAGTGGCATTATTTACACTCCTGCACTAATAATCCATCTCGGATTCATGAGATTTCTACCTTCTCCTCACTCTTGATAATCACAACAGCCGGGCGCATCAGGACATCTTCTAATCTACCCGGGTAGGGTAAATAAGAAGATGTTCTGCTTGTGCCCTCCAAGCTTTCCGTAGTGCCAGTTATCCTCCTAATCGTACTACATGCACATCGGAAGTGATAAGTCATCTCGGATTCATGGGATCGCCACCCTTCCTCTAACCCTCCACACTCATGACGACCGAACGCGTTTTCTCTTCTCCACCACTACCACTGCGAGTTCAATATCAAACTGCCGGGAAGATAGAAAGATTTCCCTCCTTTGGTAACTGGGCCTCCCGTAGTAGCATTACTTGCATTCTGGCATTAATAATCCATCTCGCATTCATGGGACTTCTCTTTACCTTTGACACTCATGTGCATCTTTTCTTCTCCAACACTACCCCCACGAGTCTAGACTAGGCGGCAAGGCATACAGAAAGATTTCCCCCCTGTGACCTCCTGCAGCTCCACCCCTTTCCAAGTCGCATTACTTGCATTCCGCCAAGTTTGACCCTTAACACTCATGAGGGCATTGTCTAGTCTTAGACGGCCGGGCAGATAGAAAGATTTCCCACATGGAGCTTCCGCACCTTTCGTAGTATCAGCCCCCCTTCCATTTCGGATTCATGGGATCTTTATCGTCACCGTTGATACTCATAACTACTCACCCTCTTTGAACGAGCGAGGTGACTTTCGAAATTACACATGTTTTGCTGAAGCTGGCCTTAGTTTTAGGAGGGACATCATACGATGTGCCCTCAGGGATCGTTTAGGACACCTCAAGCAGATTCCTACGCTACAATTAGGGTTTCGCATATCACCCTAGCTGTTGGGATGTTACCCCTGGTTTATTTTGGTTAACATGGTGATTACTATCGCATATAATGAGAAATTCGTTACAACAAATAATGATTACCATTTCACTGAAGTTGCCAATCCTTTTAATAAAAACCGCCAACTATTATTCCTTATGCTGCACACGCTTTCCTTTCCCTATGTACTGATATATTATGTGCAGCGTAACTTTTTTGCAACCGAACTATGCATTTGCATATGGTTTCCGCTATTTTTTTCTATTCTGGATGCACCTCGCGTAGCGATGGGCTCGTCTTCTACCATATACATCTCATCCGAATGCCTAAGACGGATTTGGAATATTATCCGACTAATTTTTTAAATATTATTATCATTATTATTGTTATTATTGCCCGTTGTCACCATCATCTACAGCTAACAAATGAAGCTTATGATTAATGCAAAGCACAATTCAGTACAAGCAGTGTGAACACCTGTTATGAATTGTAATTTTCTTTTTTTTTTTTGTATGTGTGTACAATGAATGTACTTTTCTGAAACGTAATTTACATTCAAATGAGGTAACTCCTTTGGTACTTTTAGTTGGCACCTAATCGTAACTAAAGGATAAGAAAAACTGCTGAAAACACTTACTTTGTTCAGATAACTTATAGCGGGTAGTAAAATTTATTTTACTCTTTGGAAAGTGAACTTTGTACGTTGGGTATTTTGCTATCTACTTCTACTTGTACCGTCGTGAGTATCCAAGTATCATAAGTCGTAAATTATACCATCGTTAGGCCTTTAAGTATGTTATAACGTTAGGTGGGTATCATATATCAAATAAATCACGTTTTCTAAATTATTGTTCGTAAAAAAACTGCCATAAATTTCAATACCGACCATAAAACTGGCCGATAAAAATGTTTTACCAGTACCGTAACGTAAAGAATTTCAAATAATGGTAAATATACTAGTTGGTTATATACTATTACAATAATGTTACACATCTTATCGTGCAGTTCTGACAATAATTAATAAAACAATTAGGCATTTAATGTATCAATTAAGAATCTCGAAGTTTACTGCCTGTATGTACCTACTAAAAATAAATTAACTTAATCACATTTAATAAATTAAGAAGTTAGGATTCAGCTGCGTACGTGATTACTAATTACCATTGTTTAAGATTGCTTGCTGTATCAATTATTTATTAACCTCGCAGTATCTACTGGCTTTTGATAAAATTCGAAAATAACTGAAATGGTTTTCTGTTCAAATATTTTGAATGTGATAAAGATATTAGCCTCAATTCAAACATCGAATTGGGATATCTGTTAACTTTATTATTCACAAATACCAAATTCTTGAACATATCGTTTGTATTGATTTAAAAAACAAACAGATTAAGTAACTTCTAATGTAGGTACTTGAAATTGTAAGGAATTATTTACGAAAAAAAAATCAAACAAAATGGAGTGCAGTTTTCTTCACATTGTCGTAATGACTCTTTATTCTATTTCATCTTCCCACCAAAAGATGATGCTAATAGTCAAAGTTTTAAATAGTACATTAGTCATTTATAATTAAAGCAAATCATAATGTAAATTAATCCTTTAGGTATATAAAACCTGAGAATATTTATTCTGGGTATAGCTAATTCTTCTTGGTGCAAAAGGCAAAAGATTCTTCTTAATTAAAAATTACTATCCATGAATTTTCGTCGTAAGATATTCTACTTTGTCAGCGCCTTTTAAAAATATCATCTAAAGCCTGAAGCACGTTTTCTTTAATACTGTACTGTTGACAGAAAATACTGAATTTCATCGAGCACATGTACCAAATCTCGTTGTTTTTCCAGCAAGTACATTCCTGTTTTATTTACTTTCTAAAAATAGGTCGTAAAGAAAAGAAAAACACTGTTTCTCCTTTTGAAACGTCGCAGAAATGGAGAATAATTTTACTTTCATCTTTCCAGGTTGAAAGGCTGACCGAATACGGAAGATACTTGGGGGGTTCGCAACCTTCATTGGACGGAAGGAGGCGAGATTTGGACAGGATCCAAGATCTATTTCCGCACGATTTTTTGGGACTCCATGAAAGAGAACCAATGTCTACATACAACGTGGTAAGTTTATAAATTAAAATACACTTGTCAGAAAAATTAATGGTGCACCTTGGCGCGAAGCAAAGTCACGGTAAACTGGAACGCAAAGTAGTTTAGCAGAAACAAAAATTTTGGATCCACTTTTTACCGAAAGGATAACATATGCTTCAAACGTCACTTCTAACTCTTCACATAAATCCCATAGCATGGGGGAGAAACTCGAGAGACAACTACGAAAACACTCCATAAATAGGAAGGCAAATAACTGTTCAACAGTGGAATGTCATTCCTGCAATTCTGATTATTCAGAAACTAGTGTCCTCAGTGCAGTTTTCAAATTCTTAGACTAAAGGGATGTCCCTTTGAACATTAGATTTTGCTGCAGCGGGTACTTTTAATTTTTGCATTTTCATAAGAATGGATTAAGTTCTTGGTCAGTGAATTATAGAAACTACCAGGCGTGGTCCTTATCAGATCTCATTGGCACCCTTTAAGGAGTCTCTATAAATCACTAATCAAATTGGGGAGACTCCGTGTAAGCATGTTTATGGGAGTAAGATGATTTAGGATGGGAAAGGCGCTAAAGAATTGTTTTGAAGATATAGAAAACACTTTTATGCTTAAAATCGGTTAATTTGGAAATTTTAAAACAATTATTAAATAAGTGTTTGGAGCATGGTTTTGTATGGATGTGAGACGTAGACGGCAGGCACTGAGAAAAAAAGTTCGAAACATTTGAGATGTGTTATGGGAAGACGTTAAAAATATCGTGGATAAAGGGTCAGAAATTTGGAGGTATTAGAAGAAGTAGGAAAATAGAGGGTGTATTATAGAAGTCAATTAGAAATTGACGTAATAAGTTAGTGGGGCTCTTCTCAATGATGGGTTAACTAGAGACATAATAGAAGCAGGAACAAAAGTTAGGAAGGACAGAGGTGGACCTAGATTTGATCTGCCCTGGTCCAAGTTTTTCTGTGGTTTTCTTGGGTCACAGGCAAAAGCTAGAACAGTAATATTCTACAGATAATCATCATTCTTATCCCAATCTCCATCCAGCCATTCCTACGATTCCTAAAAGAAGACTGAAGAGAGCCTTCCTCCCTACCCTCCGGCATAGATTTCAGGAATTGTCCGCCCCATTGCCTGTACGATCTCATGATGATGATGATGAAGATACAGACAGCGTATCGCCATCTTTTGATATTTGCTGTGAACTAAAGTACAGTATTTCAAATGCTAGACAAAGGTTTCACTAAGATATCTGTGATGCTTATCCAAATTATACAAAGAAGGACGTAGGTTCAGTTAGACAACCAGATGCCTGTGAGATCCTTTTCTAACATTTAAGATACTTTGGTTAGTTGCAAATAGATATTAGTAGATGGCGAGTTTTGGTTTTTTGTTGCTTACTACTTTAAAAAACCTTTGTTTGCTATTAAACTATGTTGTGTTCAACATTGCCACATTTTTTAAATCTAATTAATTATTTTTCGTTAAAATCGATTATAACTACCTATTTGCATTTTGTACATTGTGCGTAATTAAAAGCATTTTAAAAAAATAATATACGCCATTAATTTGTGACCATTTTTACGAAGCATTTGTTTATTCATAATTAGAGTTGTCTATTTTGTTTATTTAAATGTGTGGATTTTTCGTATTAAAAATGTAAATATTCAAATTTTATGTACTTGCTGTCAGAAATCTTGAATTTTATGCCGCATCGAGAAAGGTCTTTGTCTTGTTTATTGGAAATCATTTTTGTTTCTCGAAGTTAATTTGCGTAAGAATTTTTCACTCTTGAAGCACTGGAGGTGCTAAATAAGCAACTTTATTTAAAAATAGATGACAAGGAAGTTACGTTTTTGTCGTTGTCCTTGTTTTTATTTAATAATAATCCAGCTTTCGTAAAGATTAAGTCACTTATTTATCTCGTATTTTATTTACTACAGTCATGTTCATGGACGTGATTTTATAATTTCAAGAAATAAAATAAAATCACTCTTCTAACCTGAAGTGGAAATAATGTTTATGCAAAACCGTTAAGACTTCCATTATAGTTATTTTTGACCCACAAATGGGTACATGAAATAAAATTCTCATTACAAAATGTTTAATGAATTATTAATTGATAACCATTATCGTATTGCGATGTGATGCACATACCTGTACGCATATGTATGAATCATTAGTTCATCAAAATTTAGTATGCATTATTTGAAAAAATTCTTCCAAGAAATTGAAACTCATTAAGATACCTATTAATGGCATATAATAAACTAAAACAAAACTTTTACTTCTAAAGCCTTCAAATCTTTATTCAAATATTTATTAAAAATAACGTAAATAATATAGTAATAAACCCATCGAATAATCAGGAAAAAAAGAATTACCCTTTCCAGCAGTTCAAACAGATTTAAAATCGGATTTGAGACAGGCGAATTGTTATCAATCTAGTAAAATAACGCCTGTTTTGCTAAATTGATCAAAATTCAAATTTTCGCGGGTATTACGAAAATAATAATGGCCGACAGCAACAACAATACTACAACAATTAAAAAAGCATGATGGCCGCCTGCAGCAACAAATAAGAAATAGTAATGGCCGACAGCGACAACAATACCACAACAATGAGGCATTAAAAATGGCCGAACTGACATAAGAATATGCAAACGTAGACGAAATATCTTATTTATCCCCTAAATACATTAATTGTGCACAAAATCTGTTATTCATATTAAATAGTTGAAACTTTGAATCAAAAATGTTTTTCTTTCAGAAATCAAAACTGTCCCGTAAGAAATCACTAGGAGATATAACTTCCGTGTCAGGAAACAATGGTTTGTCGTTATCAAATCGAGTGTTCATGGTGGAAGCCCCATGTGCCGTGGCCCCCGTTCACGCACCTCTTCAGGCAAAACCCCGACATCTTTTTCTGTTTTCCGATTTACTTTTAGTTGCAAAACCTCGTTCTGGTGGCACATTCAAATTAAAGGTATTAACAGAATACAAAACTTAAACGTACCCAATTTTGACACAAGGTTAACATTCATTTTCATTTGTAATTCACTTTTTCGATTCCCCATAGGAAAGTGTGAGAGTTTCGGAACTTTGGCTGGCACCATATCCTGAATCAGAGACAGGATTTCTTCTTGGATATCCAGGACCTGCTCGAACTTATATCGTGAACTTTTGTACTCAGGCAGCAAGAGATTCGTGGTGGAGAGAACTACAGCAAGCCTTAGCAGTTCAGTTAAGACTTGAACCCCCCACAACGAATATTAAAGTCATTTATAGGGACCCCAGAAGTGGTACAGAATGTGTAAGAGAAAATTTTAACAGTTTTTGGAACTATCTGTTAATTTTAATTAAATTTCAGTCAAAAACTTTAGGAGTAGGGCCTGAAATGAATACAGGAGACATTGCCAGATTAGCTTTAGACGACACGAGACATAATGATTCAGACTTCACCCTCTGGACGCGCGAAAGAGACTCCCCACCTTGTCCTTTACTGGGATGTGAAAGACCCCATTCCATACAACTGGCAAGGTAAAAATTATTGACTATTATTTTTATTTTCGTGTTTTTTTCTACAACTTGTTTTTTTTTTATTTCAGGATACGACAGTCGGTCTCAGCTGAAGAAGGTTTTGACTTAGCCCACTGTAACAACAACAGATTACCCTGTGATATTGTTTTCGAACTAAAGCCAACGTGCAAGACCATCCCAAGAAAGTAAGTGTGAAATTCTTTATCAATAAACTAAGAATAGGACACTCACCCTATTTACCACTAAACTTTTTCCTTGCTCCCACTTGTAATGTGGGCATTATCAACAGGAGACTAATTGATAATGGCCTAAACACGTTACAACAAGGTAAAAGTTTAGTGGTGAGTAGGATAAGAATCCCTTTTAGTTTATTTATTCCTTTACCAAAGTCTCCATTTTCTATTACTTTTTATCGTTTTTTTTTTGTATGTATGATATTTTTCTTTTTCAGTCGCACCCCTTTAAAATTATTTCGCAAGAACAGTGCTCGAATATTTGGAGTACCATTGACAAGACTTGTTGTAAATAGCACCCTCCATCCCGTTTTAAGTACAATTCTAAGAGGACTCTTCCAACGTGGACCTCACACCCAAGGGATCTTCAGAAGGTGTGCCTCTGCCAGAGCTCTCAGGGAATTGAGGGAGAAAATAGACACACAAGGTAAAAATTATTTTAAAAGCTCCTTTTGAGAGAATTTTATCAAGTACTAAATAGATACGTATTGTTTTTGTTTCAGGAGCAGCCATTTGTGAAGAACTTGCAAATTCACCACCCCTTCTACTAGGTGCCTTATTGAAAGATTTCTTGAGAAGTCTACCATCCCCATTGCTCAGTGGAAACGTTCACGAATGGCTCAACGCCACCAGTTCTGGAAATATGGAACATATTAGAAGACTTTTGAGCCAACTTCCCAGAGAAAATCATGTCCTTTTGTCCAACATAATCTGCGTCCTTTATCAAGTCGCCAAAAGGGCAAGGTACAATCTGATGTCGGCCACAAATTTGGGTAAGTGTTATTTTTTTACATAAAAAAGGGTTTTTTAATTTAATATTAAATATATTTTCTTCTGTTTCACAGGTGTTTGTTTCGGTCCAAGTTTATTATGGGAGTCGTCCCAAAATGCACCAATGAGAACCCTTCCAACGCTGGTGGAATTGTTGATAAACAAGTGTCAGGTCCTTTTTGGGGCCCAAGTTGTTTCCTTGTTGGGAGAACCGGCCAGTGACAGTGGAGCTGAAGAGTCAGATAGTCTGCATTGTAAGTATTTCTTTTATTTTTAAAGTGCCATATTGAAAAAAAGAAAAAATGAATTCTAGTGGTGAAGCTCTAATTAATTTTAATTTTTTCTTTTCAGCTCTAGGCCTTTCGTTAGACAGTGTAGAGCTTAGCAAAGACCAGAAGTCTCTTAGTCGTGATTCTGGCTTGACATTGTCAGAAGACGACAGAGACAGTCCTGGTCTAAACTACAACAACGTGAACAATTTCCACAGATCCGATTGGACGAGGCAACCGGCTCGAATAAGGGCCTTAGATAGTACTTGGATAGAGGAAGATGAAGCATTTTGTGCTTCAAACGAGAGCCTCTGCATGCCACCGGTGCCTCCCAGAAGACCTCCGCCGTTAAGACATTTACCCCCAGTCCATCTACCTCCCATTTACAGACCCCCACCGCCTCCACCCCCGACCTACGCCACTGCTCGACTTTTATTAGTCACGGACTCCGAAAGCGAAAGTTACGTATGATTTCATTAATTATCACTTTTTTTTTGTAATTACATAGGTACATATACAGGGTGTCCCAAGCAAGCAGTTATTGAAGAAAAAAGCGTGCTTGGGACACCTTGTATATAAATCATAAAGTTCATGCCATTTTTTTAATAATCGTTGTATATTTTTTTTATCGATTTCTAAGAAATGAACACGTATTAATTAATTTCCGAAATTCGGAAGGCTTTCTGAGAATGTACAAAGTTTTTTTTAATTATAATTACTATTATTAAGTGAGACAAGTTATATTTGTTTTTTGATATTGCAAAATATATATAAGATTTTGTATGTATAATAGGGCCATATTAGTGTAAATTTTTGCAATCTTTTTGCAAGTTCTGCGTTAATATGTAGGTTTTCTATTTTTTTATAATATTCGTAGCGTATAAGTACTTTTTTTGTACAATGCAGACATTAAAAGAAACAATTCAGAGACGAAGAAGATTTAATAAACTCATAAATTCTTTTTTTTTCTTTTTTTTTTTACTTTTCGATATTCTCAAATATGTTTCTACGTTTTAGGTATTCTTTTTTAAATGCAAACTACATAGTTTTGTTTTAATCACATTTAATATTACAAAAATTTTAATACAGTTACAAAGGGCACACGTGTTATATAATAAATATAATACTGAAAATGAGATATTTAAATTTCAATAAGTAACATAGTCTCCAAACTTTTATTTATCACATTAAATACCCACTGCTAATTACTTATCCATCCAAAGTGCATATTTTAATTGGCAGACAAGCGTGTAAATGGCTATATAAATGTTACTTACTAATTAATACAGTCATTAAGAAAAATGTACAGTTTAAGACAACACAAATTTCTTATTGCTTACAAAATATAATACTTTTTAATTTAAATATTTCAACTTACCATTTTAATTTTATTTCTAAATAAAATTTGTTCGCCTTAAAACTGAATACAATAAGTTCACAATATAAAAATAAGAAAAAATTCTTTATAAATACTAATAAAATAAAAGATAATACTACTACTATAACTAAATGCAGTTCGTCTAAATTGTGCCATTGGTAAGTTTTGATGAATTAAATAGAAAAAAGACTAACTAATGGCAAAATTTGCGTCCTTTTTATAAAATCTACATTAAAAAATGAAAAATTTAATCGATGCTTGCTTTACTGGCAAAAGAAGTCAAAGAAGATATTTCATTTGGACTTGGATCAGTTGGAAGTCTGCTAAACTCGACCTCTTCACCGCTCTCACCACAAACAGACTCCACAGGCCATTGCTTATGACTTGGGGCATACAACATAAGCATGGCACAAATGTAGACGTTCCACATACCAAATATGCCAGTATATAACGCTGAAGACATGTCTATATCCATATTTTCGTCCCATTTGTTCTGTCCTTCTGCAACTTGGTTCAATATAAACGAAATGATGGTTGCTGCTGCACAAATTACAGTGGCTAACATTAGGAAGTTAAAACGATAAATTATCCCCTCATAATGGAGTCTGCGGGCTGAAGACATGCTTGGTAATACTGCTCGTTTAATACTGATGTTTTTGAAAACCTTCCAGATCATGTAACACAAAAATATGAAATACATACTGGCAGATATTCCAGCAAGAATGATAAACGAGAGAGCTAGGTTTGTCCCAATGGGTGTCACCCAGATAGAATAAAAAGGATTCCTCAGTTGGACCCCTCTTTCACACAAATCAAATATCAAAAGGGAAAAACAGCCAATAATAACAGCACTAAGATGCTTCCAATACATTTTAAGGGAGCTTCTCTCTCCACTATCCTGGATTAGCATGTGTTCTCCAGCAAAAATCAGCCAAAAAGACAACAACATTCCATAGAAAATCCCTTGCCTTATATCACTCAATAAAAGCATGTATGGCATATCAAAATACAACGTCAGGAGTTCAATAGGTAGATCAAGGAAAGCCAGCGTTATTCCCAGGGCGAGTAACATGTATTCCAGCAGTGCTGGGGTACGTGTAAGTATGTGCACACGTCTCCAGAACCAGATAATTATGCCCAGGATCAGAGGGAAGAAGAAAGACTTCAATGACAGCCAAACCTTTGTAAAGCCTCCATTCATGTATATAATATGCAAATGAATGTCTGATATGTGACCTACATGAATATTTTTGTTGTTATCTACAGGCAAACGAAGGTTTAGCAAGTAAAAATCATGATGCAAAGATCCCAGCTCAAATAAGGGCACACTGGAACATACATAAGGATAACCATCTTTTTCAATATCATGCACTTCATCCACAGAGCAGTCCATGATCCTCTTTTCTTCTGCATGTGTATGATATGTCCATTTATCATCAGGATCATGTTTATTCCTGTAAGCCAATCTTGCGTCCAGTGTCAGCTCAATGACAGGTTCTAATTTATGACCTTTTCTCTGAACCATGTCAATTTGCAGTACTCCTACTAGATTTTGCTGCCAGCGAGAGAAGTCATAGTTAAATAGGGGCATTTGAAATGCTAGAACTAAGTTGGATGCGTTCAGCACTTTCGTTGACTGTTGTTGTTCCAGATCTACTGCTGTACATGTTTTAGGAATAAACCACTTTTTAAAATCTTTGTCTTCTGGGTTTCGATCTACACATACTCTTGCAATAACATCTTGAGAGCCTGCGGGCGAAGGGGCCACCAAACCACCAATTAAAAAACAGGTTATCTGGAAAACCAACAGGATGCTCACTAAAACACTCAATTTTCGGCCACTTAAGTTCTCAAGGATTGTTCCTGGCATTCTGAAGATATTATATATTTAGTTATTTGCAAAAGTACAAATTATATACAACTCATTTGTCTCATTTAATATTAGAACAATTTATAGGCAAATCAACTTCTAAGAATTATAGGATGACCTTCGTATTTTAAGTATCTAAGGCGACATCTCATGGTCGGTAGTCAAATCTGTCATATCCAATTTACAGGTTTCAATAGTATTACAGGTGTCTAATTTTGATCTTACTCAGTGGTGCATTGTGCTCAATGGTATATCGTGTATCTGTTGTTTCTCTATTTATCTGTCATGTCTGTACCTAAGTTCATACTGACGCCATGCAATGATTAATGATTTTGCAATTTTGCTAGCATGTGGTACGTTTTAATTTTTCACGTATTCTTTAATAGTGCAGCTAATTATCTTTTTATTTTTCTTTTCTACAGACTAACCGATAAATAAATGATGATGATTTGAATATTACGAAGTTTCCACAAATGGATGGTGCACGAAGATACCAGTAACAATCCATTTTTTTTCAAACAAGACTGTGTAGTTGGACATTGGTAGCAGCGATCCTTTCATTTCACTGTGCTTCAATCCCTTTTTATCGATTAAAGTTAAAATATAACCAGAAACGATAGGGGTAAGTAACAATTTTAACAATTTTCATTTCATAATGTAAAATGAAAATAAAATGAATAATTGATTTACAGCTGTTCTTTGTGTGTTTCTATATTTAAAATAAATATATTTATTTTGTCTCAGCACTTAGTTAATTCTCTTGTCTGTGTAATTTATTTGTTAATTCATTTTTTGTTTGTTTTTACAGATGGTAACATTTTTCATAGACCGTAGACTTGGGTTTGCTGTTGTCGTTTTCCTCTTGCAACTTGTGCAGTTGATTTTTAACAAATGATTTGAAAGAGCACCTTGAAGTTTATATGGATTCCAATTAGTTTGCAATGGCATCATTTTTCCTAGTCTACAATTAATTAAGGTGAGGATACTTGATATAATTATTTTCAATGGCCCTTTATTAATCTGTTACCACCATATCTGTTTCAGATCGACATTGGAGAAGACAAAGATGACCCTGCAGTTGAAATAGTTCTTTATCTTGCATGATCTAGTAGAACTCATTAATTTCGTTTTATTCAAATTAATTTTTTATTTTGCATGCTTATTTTTGTTCATTTTATTTGAAGTAATTCTTGATTATAGATGTTTTTTTTTGTATGTAGTAGTAGTGTAGTAGTAGTAAAATTAACACGTTTAGTAGTTGTAGTATACTCTAACATGTCTCTTGCTTACCTCTTCGCTTAGCTTACTGCATATTCTTACTATAAATTGCTTTGCATTTACCCTACGTCTTCCACATGATTCAACGTTTCGTTATCGTGTATCTTTCTTCTCACCCTTGTGGAATTAGGGAGGGCCTCCCCGAACGACTTCCCTTGGGCTTAGCTATTTAGTTGATCTTAAAAGTGTCTTATACACTTTTCGCGAGTCTACTCTAGCGTTACTTCCTTTCAGACAGGGTACAGTGGGTTATCTGGAATAGGAGCAATAGGCGACTGCCCAGCTTGCCTTGGCGAAATCTGTCCGATCTTCTCTACCAAAGCTATTAGTATTTGTCGTTAGTCCTTGTAATTGCACTATTCGCTTTCAGGTAACCGAAGAAGACGAAGGCATCGTATTGTTTGCTTTTTATTGTATTTTCTTTGAAATTTCATATGTTTTCTTGTCTTTCTTTTACAGGTATTTTGTTTATTACTTTATGAACTGTTATATTATGTAATTGTAACTTAGAATGATAGTTAAAATGTTTCTAAATTGATCTTTTGGCATAAATGTTAAAATTAAATTAAATATTTGTTTATTAAAATTCATTTGGGTGGATAGGGTGGCTATAAGGGGAGATGCGGAGGCCACAGAGGGTTAGGAAGACTTTTCTCCTTAATCTTGTTTTGTAATGGTAATATAACAGTTCGTAAGTAATAAGATTTTTTTTTGCATACAAATGTAATTTGTTTTCTTTTGTTTTACAGGTATTTTCTTTTTACTCTGTAAACTGTTAATTAATTTCCTGGTTTTGTAACTATTAAATACTTTATATATATTATGTATTAAACTATTACTAGAAATAAATATGTTGTAATTAGAGTAATTAATAAATATATGGGTCTAATAAATATATTTTAATTTTATTAGCTTTTTTATTGAATATTCTTTAATATGGAAGTAATTTATTGAAGAATTAAAGTAAACGAGAGTGTATTTAGATCATTTATTGAATAATCTTTGATAATAGATGTGATTTATTGATGAATTAGGCAAAAATTTTCAACAAAAGTTCGATTTTAGTTCATATACGTGGATGGATTTTGACCGAAAAAACGTAAAAAACACCATAAATAATAAATTTTTGGCAAAAACAAAGCAAGCGGGAGCTCTTTATATCATTTATTGTTTAATCTATATCATCAGTTATCATTTATCGATGAATTAAGCAAAAATATTTGGCAGAAGTTCTATTTCGGTTCCCAAAACGATCGACAGGTAGCTATACATGGGTTTTTTTCGGGAACCGAAATCGAATACTAGGACAAAAGTTTTGCTTAATTCATTAATAAATGACAACTGATAACGATAATTAATTAATAAATTATAAGAACTAGCTGTGGCATTCTTTATTTTTTTTAAAAAATGGTTATTTATTCTGTTTTTACGATTTTTTCGTTCAAGATCGACCCACGTTTAGGAACGAAAATCGAACGAATCAAGTTGAAAATTTTTCGACTTATTCGTTCCTAATCTTGGTTGACCTTGAACGAAAATAAAGTAAAAAAACAGCATACACACAATAGACTTTATTATCGTTCAAGGTCGACCAAGGTTAGGAACGAATCAAGTTGAAAATTTTTGCTTAATTGCTCTAAAAATTTTCAACTCGATTCGTTCGATTTTCGTTCCTAAACGTGGGTCGACTTTGAACGAAAAAATCGTAAAAACAGAATAAATAACCATTTTTTAACAAAAATAAAGCATGCCACAGCTAGCTCTTATAATTTATTAATTAATTATCGTTATCAGTTGTCATTAATTAATGAATTTAGCAAAACTTTGTCCTACTATTCGATTTCGGTTCCCGAAAAAAACCCATGTATAGCTACCTGTCGATCGTTTTTGGGAACCGAAATCGAACATTAGGACAAATTTTTCTCTTAATTCTTCAGTAAATGGCAACTGATATGGATAATTGATTAATAAACAATAAGAACTAGCTGTGGCTTGCTTTATTTTTGTAAAAAAATGGTTACTTATTCTGTTTTACGTTTTTCTCGTGTAAAATCGACCCACGTATATGAACCAAAATCGAACGCAAAAATTTTCAACTCGATAATGTAATAAATTTGATAAATAGGTATAAATAAAACAAGAGAGTGTATATTTAGATGGTTTAATTAATCTTTGATATCAGATACAATTTATTCCATTCAAAATTTAGTGTTATTATTATTTTACTTAAATTGGGTATCTGGTAGACATCTGTAATACTGTTGAAACCTGTAAACTAGCTATACGAATATTTGACTATTGGCCGCGAGATGGCGTTCACGGTAAGTGAAATACAAAGGTCATACAGTAATTCTTGACATTCTTAACATTGCAAATTCCGTTATTATAAGCAAATAAATTATAAATAGCTTGTAATTTTGTATATCACTTTATATATTAAATCTTAAGAGATAAAGTTTCTTATTTTTTAAGGAACTCCACAGCAAAAAACAAGTATGACTATTGATGATGATATTTTGGACATAGCAACTTTGGTGAGAGTGATGTATTGCTTAAAAATGTTTCTAAACAATTTAAAGATCATATTTTTGAATAATTTCAAGTTAACATGGCATACATCAATTAATAATATAATTAAAAACTAAAATCATGGAAATAAACATTTATTATTACTTAAAATAATAGATTACCTGTCTTATTTAGAGAGATGTTTGTTTAAATAAATATACGATCAATTGAAGTAAAACAAGATCAAATTTTCTTTTTTTGCTCATTTACTCACCTTACAGTTAGTTTAAAGATACTGAATTGATGCTTATTGAGCCTATTAATGTAAAGGTACTGAATTGATGCTTATTGAGACACCAACATTTCAGATTTTTCTTAATTTATTGACTTCTAATAAGATATAATTAAAGAAAAGGTAAAATAAATTAATCTATAATTCCATGCACGAACGAGTAAATAACGATCACAAGTGGCGACCAATAAAATCGCAATTAATATTTTTTTAAGAAAAAAAACAATCTTCTTACTTACATGTCCTAGTACGTCTACAAAATAATTTCTAAGTGTGCATTTAGGTACACTATTATTATTATTATTATTATCAGTTCGATTAGGTGGTAGTAATACTTTTGTTTTTTGTACATTTATGTAGGTAAGTAAAAAAAGACAGAAATTAAAACCTATCAGAAGATTTTCGTCACTCTTCCAAGTCCGTGCTTCCCAAATTGCTAGAAGAACTTCCAATACTTTCGCAAGCTTCAAGGAAGAGATCTGGATTTACCATTTCCATTACTCGCCAAGCCAGTGACTTACCTAGAATGAAGCATGACATTTTCTATAATTTTATAAAAACAATACGAATTATTTTATTTTTGTCGTAATATTTACAAAAGTCTCTAACTATGAGAATTATTTTAGATTTTTCTGTTTATAAATCTGGGAAAAA